CCCCCTAAAAAAAAAAGAGTGCTAATGGAGGGAACAAAGAAAGATGACTCCTTTCTCTCTGTTTAGATCAGGTGCTAGGCCTTGGGGCCTCACTCAAGCAGGGATCTGGCCCTGAGCCTCCAAAACTGTAAAAATTCAGTGTGTGCATGTGTGTGTGTGTGTGAGTGCGCGCGCACCCATGCGCCTGTGCCCCTGATTTCATGAGGCCAGGTGTAAGGCAGTAAACAGGTCCAGGAATATAGGTAGCGCCAAATATTTTTCCAACAGTCTGGAGTAGAGTGGAGAGGTTGGAAGTGAAATCCTCTTTTTCTATTTTAAATTAACGTGTATTCGACTTCAAGTTCGTTGTCAGGGTCAAATTTTCCGTGAAGTTTATACCCAAAACCATTCTGGTTTGACGTTAAATAAAAATTCAGGGTGAAAACACACATCTACCTCCGGTGCCGAGTGTAAATTAATCAGACAAAGTGGCAATATCCCCTAGTGTGACTGTTGCATATGTGTTGAAAATAACCCCATGCCAAGGCTGAGGGCAAGGTGCATTTACTGACTTGTCTCCATTGGCTTGTACTTGTGTGGGCCGCTTAACCCACTTTCAGTCATTTACAGACTTCAACATAAGTTAAGGAACACCTTGACAGACAGCCCTGACTTTCAAAAATCCGAAAAAAGGACAGCAAGAAAAGTTTCAAATTTTTTTTGGTCTGAAAGTGATAATTGGTTAACAATGTGTACTGCAGAGCTTTCTAAAGGTGCAAAACCACAACGTGCAGCACGGAAATCCTCAGGGAATTTTAGCCAAATGTGCAAGTGGTCCTTAACTTATGTTGAAGTCTGTATAGCACATGCAACATTCAACCTTAGGAGGACGCCTTAGCAGCATAGAATGAGGTCCAAGTCTATTGAGTGAGTGTTGCAAGATGTGGATTGTCAAGTCAACAGTAGGCTACTGTGAGTGAATAAAAAAAGGAAAGGGTGAGAATCAGGAGAGAAGAATGATGTAACATATCAAAATTGAAGAATGATGTCCCAGATCAAAATTGAAGAATGATGTTACATTGTTACAGATTTAAATTCCTTCGTGTTAACCAGAATTTTTTATCGTGGTAAGGGAAGTTGTAATGCATAGTATGTGCTTTTGTTTAAAAGTCTGAAGATTCCAGGAAATGGTATGGAAAGTTGCTGACTTTCCCAGATAAAATCTACTAGCTCATAGTTACATTATTCTACACTAGAAAAGGTAGTTTTCCTTGCATTATTTGTGAAAATATAATGAATGCAGTTTGAGCACTATTCATTTCCAAGACAGATTTAAACCAAGTTATAAATTCACAAAAAGCATGTAATAAATTATTAGAACAATAACTTTATTTCTAAAGGGATGTAAAAGCATTCAAACAATGACTACGCCATTTTGCAAGAATATTCAACACTAAAGTTTACAACAACTTCAAAATAGGTGAAAAATATAGAGCCGGGCGTAAAAGAGAAAAACTATTAATTCTTATTAGCAGCTTGACAGAAGTACATGTGTAGATACAGTTACATGTCATTTTGAGGACACTGAGAGAAAGAGGAGAAAAGGACAAAGAGAGAAGAGGGGGGGGGGGAGGAAAGGGGGGAAGAGAGAGAGAGACAGAGTGACAGAGAGGGGAGGGGGAGAGAGAGGGGGGGAAGGAGGGAGGAAGGGAGAGAAAGAGAGGGAAATAAGGATTGGAATATCTCATAAACCAATACACACATCAGCACTTTTATAAATACTTTGGGGTCAATTTAAGATATCTAAAAAAAACCTCAAGAATTCATAGACTCCCTGTTGACATTACAAAAAGGCATGAGGCGGTGAAAATAATTTAAAACAAAATTTGAAGTAAATTCTATTCCTCACGACAGGCAATCAACTTAAAAATTAACAGGTCTGCACATTGATTTTTTTTAACTTAGAAAAAAGTACAGTAGACACCCAGTTTTTATTTCTAAAAAACCCTCTTATCAAGGTGAAAGACATGGAAGTGTGTTATAGCAAAGCCAACGATAAGAAAATTAATTAAGAATCACAATGAAAATGAAAGTTTCGAGTTGTCATGGCTCTAAGACCCAATTTTTTAGATAGCAATACATTGTTTAAACAGGTATTAAACCCTTATCTCATCTGAACGTTACCTATCCTGTCAGCCTAAAAGAAATCATATAAAACGAGAAGGACGTTTAATTTTCAAATTCAGGAGATGTCTATGAAGTAACCAAACCCACTATGAGGGATGTTATCATTTCTGAGAACAAAGTAAGACAAATGAGTTTGTCACAAAAAGAACAAAAAGTGTGCTTTAAATGTTGTACTTATTTCTTCTGACCACTAGTTTTGCACATAAATACCCCTCAGGAAATCTTTAAAATCTTATCACAGTCAGCACACCTATAAAATAACACAATGATAAAGCAATAAACAATGATCATCCAAATGCCTTCAGTTCCAAACAAATAGCAATTATTTATCTTTTCTAACAAATGCCTTCAGTACCAAAATAAAAGCAACTATACATCTTTTTTAACAAATGAAATCAACTCCAAATTAAAAGCAGTTTAATTTTTGTTTTTAACAATTTGAGTGGCTAAAAGTGTCTTGTAAACATAAATTCTCTTGGCCTTTCAATAAAGTATTTGTGAAAACTTTGACACAACAGCTACTGGTGAAGAACATTTTCAGGAACTTGTCCCTTTCTTAGTTCTCCGACGCTGAAAGAGCTCAATGCCCTCTTTAAACGACTGCCAGGAAACTCCATCCGGGACAAACATACAAGTCACACCTGAAATAAATGCAATAAAACAAAGTTTTACATTTATAATCAAATCGTTTTCCATAGCTGCTGTGTAGATTTAATGTACACAAACAGACATGGTATTCACATTATCATTAATACCTTTGATGAGTTACATGAAATAAAAGCATGTCAAGCATTGAGGCATGTACCAGTACTGGGGTGGGGGGTTATGATATATTTATAGTAATTATAGGCCAATTTCAAAGAGAGAAAGATTCTATCAGAGAATATAATGCATTAGACAATATGCACAACTAATCTTATCCAAAGCATGCTAGCGAAAAAAAACAACCTTGATTAATTCAAAGTCTTCAGTCTTTTTCTGTCTTAGTAAAGCTAAATTATTAGAAGACTCATTATCAAATACAGTGAATTATACACACAAACTTGATCCAAAGCAACTACTGCCATATTTTCCAATACAGAAAATTACTATACACTAATACTGAAGTATGGCAAAGGGTACACAACACCAAAATGATCACCAAACGTCAACCATCAGTTTTAAACATCGTTTGCCGATTTCTCTTTCATTTCTTGCAGTTCATTTGTGAATCATGTTCAAATAAATCTTTGAGATCGCATGGAGGCAGTTCAGTGTAGTGGAGCAGACATTTCACAAATGTGAAAACAATCAGTTCAGACTGAGCTGCAAACCAGAAAAACCAGAAAAACCAAAAACACCAAACCCAGATCTCACCTAAGGACGAAACGTCTACTATATTCCTGTGTTCATCATCAAAAAAGATCATATCCTCATACGGAATTCCACTTTGGTTGTGAAGTCTGGGAAAGAAATGATGGCATAAAATCAAAATCTCAATAAGAAATGTTACTTATGCCAGACATACAATTTTTTTACATTTAATATTATTGTCATAGATTTTTTTCAGTTTTAATATAAGGCTCAGCATGATGATGAAGGCACTGCTATCTGTAGCAGGTTGTGGAATTTGGGATCATTAAAAGTTGCTTGCTATTATTTCCTTTACTTTACTCTCATTACCAAGTCAGCTACCTGCTGCATCTGTAACTTCTTTTCCTCCTTAATGTTAAAGGTCATCATCAGTTCATGATGGACGGAATATTATTTCAGTCAAACCTGCCCTGACCGCCACCTCTATAAGACGGCCACCTGTACAAACGGCCACTTTCCATTTCCCCCCCTTGCGTTTTTTCTATATAATTTAACTGTGTAAAACGGGCACCTGTCCAACACGGCCGCAGCCACCATATTTTAACACACAACCCCTATCACAATGAGCAATGACACCTGTCTTAGACGGCCACCTTAGTGACTCCATTACGTTTTGCCATAAATAGTGCATTAGCCCCTGGCATTGTGGGCGAGTCGTCATAATCCTATCACCTGTCGTTGTTGTTAGGTAGTCCCTCCAACCGATCATGTTGCGTAGGCCCCTCCCACTGTTGACCAATAGCTACCAATTTTCAGCTGCTGGTGAGGTAAGCGTGTGATCCCTCATAACCCATAAGCCCCGTCCAGAACTCATACTCAAATCGTAAGTGAGATGAGTGGTCACTGTTTACCTAGTCTGTAACAAAGTAACAATGGACGTCAACATGAACTTGTGACAGAAGCGTCGCTCGTTCTCCAAGTGGTGGCGACCCATGTGTTTGTTTTAATATGGCACTCGGTCTTCCTCGTCTGATACATTTCGTTTTATTGTCACCCTTGTGCAAAATCAGCAACAAAATAAACATTACAAACAAAATACAAACCACCACCAACAACAACAAAAACAGCAACAATGCGGCTACTTTCGATTGGGACTTCAGATGGGAATGGTTTATTTTCTTCTTCTTGATCAGTTCTGCCTAAGACGGGCACCTGTCTTATACGGCCACTTTTCTCCTTGACAATGGGTGGCCGTCTTACACAGGTTTGACTATTATTATTACTGTTATAATAGGGTTTTTTTAGGGAAGTATTTTACGGCACTCGCAACTGCATAAGGTCATATGAGTGCGCGGGATCCATTAAATATTTTCAGTTGTTTGGAAATTTTGAATCTTGCCCAGTTGGTAGCCGAAGCCTACTCTTATCGATTTTAGACCTCCAAGGGATCTCTAACGGGTGCAACCTGCACACGAGGCCTCAGAGATTTTTTCGCCCTTGTACGAGAAGGCTAGGTGCAAGGCTCGGTCTTTCCTACCATAAGATCATGGGTGTGACTGAAAGACAACAATAAGAATGAGACAAGTAGTAGCAGTAGAAAGGCTGCAGAAAGAGTCAGGAGCCCAGATGAGGGGGCAAAGGTGGTGAGGGGGTGGGGGCAGAAAGTAGAAACGAAAACAGACAATAGAGTATTGTTAGAGAGAAGGAAAGGAAGTGAAAGGAGAACATTTTAGAGAAGAAAATTTGCCGTTGCTACAATATATAAAATCTGAACCCTCCTCGAAAATACAAGAAGAAATAAAAGTTTTTACATGAGTTAATACATTGACCACAGATATTCAGCCATATGACAGAAGATAGATAACTGAACTATTTTTAACCATAACTCTTGCAGAAAGTAAAGGAGATAAAAAAGGTAACTTTATAATTCTCAAATACTGGTTTCGATTAAAAAGTGAAAGTAATCATTATTTAGAAAATTGAAGGGAAAAAATGGAAATGCAGTCTCGAAGAAAAAGTTTACATGTCAGGAAAAAAATGTACAATATAGGTATTTGAACTCAACTCCCTTTTCTCTTTTCCAGAGATTGCAGAACTACAATCAAACCTGCTTTAACTCTTTATCTCCATGGAGGGTAAACCCACTATGCCGGGACCCTATTTAGCTACGAAATCTTAAATTGACATTTAAGTCACTAAACCGGTCATTAGATATAAAAAAGTGATCCCATTTCGATAGTTCTTCATCTAATGAACCATCTCCAAGTAAAAGAGACTTGTTTCGCCGAAAAGTAATTTGATGTCGAAGTTGTCGTAAAAGAATGCGTCTGAGCCAATAGTGGCTCACCGGCACAGCGTTTCCGACTGTGAGCCACTTAGAGCAGCTTGCCAGAGATAAAGAGTTAACAGTCACCTGTTCGCCAAGTACAAACAACCATTTCTCACTTCCCCCTGCATTTTTTCTGAGGGGAAAACTATTTCTATATCTATTATCTATTTGTGGTGGCCGAATTTTGCTATTCAAAAGGCTTTTTAATTGTGATGTCAAGGGACATGACTCTTGTCTTTACTGTGGGGACAAGATAATTAAGGGAGTGGCACGTCCTTGGATGACGTCGAATGTACGGCGGGAACCTAGGCGGAGATCGTCTGGGAGACTCACTGAGAGATTCAGTCGGACTCGGAACCACGATAAGACAACACGTATCTTGGACAGACTCATCGGACCGCCAGGTAACTTTACATTTAATGGCTGCATCGATAGACATGTGGTTTTCGCCAAAAGATACGCCAGATCATGACACCCATCGTTTTTTCAGTTTTGAGACAGTTTTGCTGAAAAAAAGCTCAAGTTCTATATTTCGCCGATCGCTTTTGTAGGCCGACGCTTCTGTCTCTGTAATTTTACAAAATCCGCCAGGTTTGTTTATTTCAAGTCGTACTTCCGTTTGATTCTATCGCTCATTGTCGCGCAATACTGAGCACTATTTTAAGCGTGCAGCCCCTATAGATCTTTTTTTACTTGGTGCTAAATTCGACGGCGATCCTTTCGTTTGATGCCCATCATTGCTTTTTCTGGACTTTTTTGTCAAATTCTTTTTCTTGCTACTGGGAACAATCAACACGCTTCTGTACAACCACAAAAGCGGAATAGAGAATCAATCTATGCATCTATTATATATTTGGCAACTTGGAAACATGTGTCACTTTTCTCTCAAGATTTATAGCTCCAGTCCAGTAGAGTGTAAATATATGACGTTCAGTTGATGTTAATGCACCGATCATTCCTTTCATCGAAAGGGGGCCCAGCTAGTATATTATAATGGTTCAGGGTCCAAGATGCCCACCTGTCTAAGACAATCACTTTGCTCCTTGACAATGGGTGGTCATCTCCAACAATTTTAACCCTACATGACTAGTTCAGTTTTAGTTAGAATTTTGTGGCACTTGCAACACAATAAATGCCAAAGATTAGAGATGTTACAAGAGAGAAACAAACACAAAAAAGGATGAGAGAGAAGGAAGATAGATGATTTGATAGGAAAGAAGGAGCGAACAACACCAGAGCACCTGTCAATCATCCATGAGGAGAGATCAGGACGATAGATAGGATGACAGGAAAAGAGGAAAAAATCAGACCAGAACACCCACCAATCATCCACGTACATGATTAAACGCCACTTCTGTAGCGTGTTACCTGAGAATAAGGAGTATTCCTTTTAATGATAGGCATCAACTTACTTCTTGAAATGAGTTATTTTACACCCTGGGTATATTTGGCGATAGTGGAAAAACTGATCCCAGTTGAACAGGCGGGTGAGGTCATTAGCTTCATGAGTGGCAGAAGTTCTGTATTCAGAGTAGAGAATAAAATATATCAAATTCTTCCATTTGCCACAGCTGCAAATAATCATGCTAAAAGTGAAAATAATGCATTATTTCCAATTCATGATACAGGCAAATCTGTGTAAGACGAAATTGCATGTGAGCCAGAAACAAATTCTGCCCAAGACATTTTCCATCTTACACAGGGAAATTTACAGGAAGATGGGGGAGGGTTCCAGAGGCCCAGCTAGTGGGATCATGGGTCACTTGTCCAGTCAGCAAGCAGCGGTCAAAACTTCACACCTCCCAAGTGCTATCCTAGTCTCCCTGATGATGACATGTGTCAGTCCTATTTATTCATTACCACCAGGGATTGCATTAGACCATTATTTGACTCATCAAAAACAGAAACAATTGAACATCTCAATTGTTTCCACCCTTTGCCCCATATATCAGCACAATAAGCACAGTTAGACCAAAGCCACCCCTCCCGTGCATGTAACAACAATCGAGGGACTTTTTTCTTGGCCAGCTGTATGATCAGGGTGAAAGGTATTGTTGTAATTGATTTCACATCTCTGGCCTCTGGCTACCCAGGAATTAATGTTGAAGTCCTCGAGAGACATTTTTCAAGGTGATTTTGTCACACTTTTACCGAGTGCCAACTTTACACTTGGAATAGCTCAGAATAGAAATGGCCTTTGGAATTCTGAAATTAGGCATTCTTACAACATGATCAACCCAGTGAAGTTGAATCCTTTTGAGCTTAGAGAACAGACTCTCTGCATTTATCCTTTAGTGTCTAGTATTTTGTTCTGTTATTTGAAGCCTAGAATTCTTCTGAGACATTTCATGTGGAAATGATTAAGCTTCTTAGCATGGTTTTTGTACACTGACCAGGCCGAAGCACCGTACTGCAGGGATGGGAGGACAACAGCGTTGTAAACTTTTAATATTACACTATAAAACACAAACACGAATAATAAGTTCCATACATCTGTAAAGTGCAACTTATCAAAAACAAAAGAGGTACAGGACATAAACTACATCTGGAACAGAAAAGTCAAGATAACAATAACTCTTCACTTGCCTTGAAGCAATGCCAAGTTTGAAATCTTCCTGGTGGAGTTTACGCAAAATGTCAGGGACGTCTGGATAATATTTCACATGTTGTTTATCGGCATCATAGACTTTCCCATTGCTGGCAGTAAGAAAGGATTTTTCAAGGTCATAAAAATACAAATGTGCATATTTATATGCAAGTAAATACAAATGTAGCGTTTTTGTGCTTGTTATGTTGGGTGCCCATCAACGTGTAAAAACAATGAGCAGTGCCTCAGTGAAGGCTCTAGGTAGACCGTTGCTGGATATATTCCAGCACCTGTTGTCTTCGGAAATACAACCTAGCAAGCACAAGGTGAAATCAGGGAGATGCAGAAATCTTTTCAATATATACAAATTTTGCTGCCTAGATCATGTCATCAAGGGAGATAAATTGAGCGGGACAATAGGGTCTAAATTTTACATGCCACACTAATATAAGCGTGTCAGGTTCATAGTCTTTTTAGATTAGGGGGCTTGACGTTGATTTTTCTTTACCCCCCTTCTTATGTTAAGATCAGCCGTTTTCCAGGACCATAAGCTTCTTCTTTTTAATCACATCACACTAGAAGTCCAATATCTATCAAATACTGGACCATGCTGCTCAATTCCTCTATTGGCCCATATAGCTTCTCCTGTTGTTGTTGTTGTTAGCGATCCAGTAGCATCTGAGCATTAACTCTTCTGCATGAAGCCATTCCGTAATAGCTGCATGTCTGTTCTAATTGTTGTCTTGAGGAGTAGAGGCAGTTAGATGTGTGGGGTAGCTTGGGAAGAAAACACCCCCTCAAATCGGTTAGTTTTCTACAGAAGAACAGATGATGTTCCACTGTCTCTGAGGGGTAGTCACATAGTGGGCAGGCAGCAGACTATGTATGTATGTAGTATAGGGTTTTACGGCGCTCGCAACTGCTAAGGTCATATGAGCGCGCGAAACTGCAGACTGCTTTACTCCAATTCGGTTGAGATGTTGATTGAGGGGTACATTAGCTTCTCCTGTAAGACTGAAAAGCCTTTCTGCTTCTTTTACACCACCAGGGTCCACTCCCTACTACAACTTCACCTGCACCTAGCTTTACAGAACGCCTGCAAGCTATAGCGTAGCATGTAAACGCTGTTGAAGAGAATTATGGCTACAGACTCCTCACACACAACTGAAGTGTGCAGGCTAGATCAACCGTTGAACACTGCATGCAATAAACACGTTCTTGACAGACCCTATTGCCCTCAGCTTATAGAAAGGTTGTGGGCCTTCACTCATACTGTGCCTGCTCTCTCTCTTTCTCTCTCTCCCTCTCCCTCCCTCACTCTCTCTCACATGGGCAACTTTGATAAATGAATTTTGTTGTTGTGCTGAATTAAAATTACCCACATTGATGCCAATTTTTATTTACTTATTAATGCGAATTGTCTACTCTACGCACATGTTTTGACTACAAAATACACAATGAAAAAATCAGGACCTGAAAATCCATTCTGTATACGCATTTTTGATATGGTGTTTCTTATGTGCATGCTAGACTGCAGTCTCAAAAGTTAAAATTTTCTATGAACAAGCGAACTCATCTTATACTCCTCAAAGCACAAATGTTGAACCCCATGTAAAGTAAAATTTCACAACATGTTTTTTTAAAGTCAACAGCTACAAAATTTTCAAAGACAATTATAATCAGAAATATGCATAAGATTAGCCTGAGCTTAGACATAATATACTTACGATCCCATCTTGAATGGAGGACTGACATGAGTGTCAACCCAAAAGGGCCACAATGTGTAATCTGAAAGTAGGCAGGATAACAAAGCAAAAAGTCAATACTACACTCAAAGCTTCTTATATTTATAAATGCATTTTAAAGTGCAGTTGCCTCCACTTGCGTTGAGTTGATCTTCAGTAAAGTCGATATTCTTCTTGGGTCCCAGCACCTTTTCTTCTTTAAAGATCCCAAAAGATAAGTTGAACTTTGAATGAGTTTATCTTTTTATTCACTCCCCAGACGACATCAACTCATCAGTAGTCCACTGAATAGACCACTCTTCTGCAATCATTACGGTTTCCCCATCTACTGAATATAATACAATGATATATACTATTTTTACTATTATAGGACAATAAATAAGAAATATGTAATGGTTGTTGTAAAGTTTGAATTCAACACATTGCCAATACAAGAGCAGAAACTTTTGAGAAAAGACTTTTATATTAAATCAAGAGATTTAAACATGAATCATTGTCAGTTTCCTACAAAGTTACAACTTGATGTTTTCTACTTTTGTCTACTGGAAGTAGAAATTATTCCAGGCATGAGATCTGCCACTATAGTAACAAGGCTAAAAAAAGAAATGATTAAGGAACAAGATTTTACCTGCATACAACAAAAGAAAAAAAATATTTATTACCTAAATCAAAGACAATCAGTTTAGGTTGAGGTTGAGGTTGAGCCATTGTGGAAAGCTTAGAAATATGTCTCTGATAAGTCAGCAATGAGCAAAATGTACAGCATCTAGTTCTCCTTTGTGTTATAGTGACCAGAAGTTTCTGAATCATCACATCTGTAAACACAACAAAGAAAAGTGATTCAATATTAAAATTAAACTTTTTTTTAGCAAAACAAATCATGACAAAATTAAAGTAACACGCAGGACACATTAACTTATTGAGACAGTCAAAACCTAACCTTGCACATAGTACATAGGACTACTTTTGGAAATTCAATTTTCATCATTGCTTTTTTTTAACCAAAAAAAACCCAAAACATAAACAAATGGAAGCACAAATTTGAGGCCTTAAATTTTAAAATTGTCTACTCATTAGCCATCTATAGCAATGGATCTTTTTAAAGACATAATCCTGGGCAAGTGTGGTTTTCTTATTTTATATTTACCATTTTTGTATTTAGCCAGTTTGTCCTTCGTTGCATTGAGACCAGTTCCTCGTAGACATGTAGGAAGAAAATTAAACATGAACCCATTCCACAACAGGCTTAGTGCTGATATCCTTCGTGAACCACTGTCTCACATAGAAAGCTCTGGGAGGATACATTTCATTATCAGTCTACCCTACATTAGCACAAAATTGAAAAGCTAGGGAAAGTTAACGCTTTTCTGATTTAAATGCAGTCAGGATGCAAATTATATTCACCAGCAACAGGGCAACAATTGAAGATGAAAAACCAAAAGCAGAACATATGAAAAGTTGAAGTCCCCAAAGTTCTGCACAAGTTAGAAGCCATGGCACAACTACCATTTCATGTTTAAGGGTTAACAAGACACGAATCCAACAAGTTTATAAAAGTTTAAGGCCCACCATAGCTTTAGAATCAGGATCAGAGGTTGAGTAGATACTAAAATATTGATTTTCAGATTTTTAAAATATCTGACAAGACATGTGTCCTGAAAACATAAAACTAGGTTTAGAACCTGTAAAATCATCATCAAAATGAGAGCAGAAAAGGGCTTAAAACAGGTCTGAACAGGCAAAAGGTCTTCCGTTTTTCTGAATGCTGACATGAAACTATCCTTCGATGATAATCCATACTATTGACATGGTTGTCACCAATTTTCCAAAAAATAACCCATTTTTAGGAGGGATGATGATTAGTGCTACAACAATTAATAATTTCTAAAAATCTACCTTTCAACCTCTTTGAAACTTTGCATGTTTATTTTTGTAAGTTCTTAGTGCTTCTAATTACAAATTTGTCTGTAGAACAAAAAGTGTGCTATATCATAACAACATTTTTTAAGAATGTAGAACTGGAGAATTTTTTTGGCTTTAAAATGTCTTCGACTAATAGGCATCCCTGTCAAAACTTTTCTAACTGAAACAACAAAAATCCTCCAGTGGTTAGTTAGTTTATTTCGTTACTGATATATATATATATATATATATATATATATATATATATATATTCTTTTTTTTTTTTGTATTTTACGACGTTTGCAACTGTATAGGATGAATGCGCGGAACATTATATTAATTATTTTCAGTTCGGAAGGAATTTTGAATTTTGCCCAGGTGTCGGCCGAAGCCTACTCTTATTGATTTTAGGACCACCAAGAGATCTTTAACTTATAATGTGTGTAACTTGCACATAGGACCTTAGAAATTTTTCGCTCTTATTTGAGAAGGCAGGGTGTAGATCTCACCTGCCATAAGATCAGGGGTATGGCTGAAAGACAGCAGTAAGAAGGAGCCAAGGAGTAGGAGTAAAACGGCAGCAGAAAGAGGACTTCAGGAGCCAAGAAAAGGGGGGGAGGGGGGTATAGGGGAGGGGAGGGGGGCAGAAAGTGGAAATGAAAGGGGATAAAATTCAGTTTTGGCCCCCACGATAACTAAGTTAATAACTATGGAGTGTGGGTTTTGGCTCCACTTCTAGTTCTAAACGATTACTTTTTGAAGTGCATGCCAATACGGAGAGATATCAAACCAGGATGGACTTTCATAATGAGCGACCACCCCAACACAATAAAAATGAGACCTAACCTAACCCCTACCCTTACCCCAACCCAATATAATATTCTACTGTGTTTCATTGTGGTCACTTGTTACCAAATTTCTCCCTCAAACCTAATTGCAAAACATCAAATTATGGTTAAACCCCGAAATTCCCCATATTTTTGTTATTTGTGTTAAAAACAAATGAAATATTACACTCATTTTGTACTGAAAAATAACAGTGTATCTCTCGTTCTCGTTCGGATAAAACATTGATACCAATGGGAAATATTGAAGTCAGTATCGATATCCAGTGCTCTTGGGGCCAAAACCAGAGAATGCCAATGAAAGTAGAGACAACAGAACATGGTTAGAGAGCAGGAAAGGAGGTGAAAGGAGAACATTTTAGGTGAAAATTTTCCATCGTTGTCAGGTTTCGAACCGGGGACCTATTGAATGAGAGGCAAACACAGATATACAGCCGTTTTCAATTATATCGATACTGTGGAAGGAAGGACTTCCGTAACTAACGACGACCACCCCAACAAACACAATCAAGAAGAGACCTAACCCTGGCCCAAACCCTCTATTTTACCCTGTCACTCGTTACGAAAGTTCCCCCCCTGTGCTTAAAGCAACAGAGTAATTTAATAATTAAATATGATTATATAGGCCCGAGACCCTAATCTGACTCCATGGCCATCACACAATCATTCCATGGCGGATGTATAAACATAGGCCTAGCTACTGCATGGGATTGAAGGTTGGAAGAGTCAATCAGAAAATATTTTATCGAACAGTAAAATCACTTAAACTATATTTCGGAAGACGGAAGAGGCTATTATTATTATAAGCCCTACTTAATGATGGCTAGACTGACAAACAACCTACTGAAATGTAAATACATTTTCAGTTTGCAATACACAAAGTATTTGTAATTTAATTTGTCACAAAACCAAAAAGTGCCTTACTGACAGTGCATCATGTGTATTTTAAACCTGAGCCTGAATAATTACTAGAGAGCTGTGAACTCAACAAGTTTCTATAGGGCCTAAAATAAGTACAGCTAGACTGGCAGGCTAGCCGTACTAAATAATGATGGCTGAATTGTAAATAAAATTTTAGTTTGCAGTAGTAGTAGGCCTAGATCTAGATATCTATAATCTAGATCTTCTACCTTAAGTATTTTTGTAAGACGAAACCAAAAGGTGCCTTACACTGACGACATCATGCATGTATTTTAAACCTGAATAATTACTAGATCTAGATCTAGATCTAATGAGACCTGCGTACTCAACAGGTTTCGGTTAATAGGGCCTAACCTAGATCTAAGTAGCCTACAGCTAGACTGGAAGGCTAGCATTACAGCTAGAATCTAGACAGCTCTTGCCGTACTTTAAAGGACGACTAGACTGTCAGGCTAGCTGTACTCGTAAGCAGATCTACAGCTAGCCACTTCGCCATATTTCAGTTGTACAAAGAAAGACCCTGTATTCTCGATCTTCATACTCAGTCGACCTTGGTAATACTTGATTGTCTTGATAGACAGGGGGTCTCGGTGGGTTTGGACTTGGTACCGGCTAGGCCTACCGGAGCAGATCTCTCTAGACTCTATTCTATGGCTCTTTTCGTCTATGCAGACGGTCAATTTAGCTTAAGATCGACTCAAGGTTGTCTTCATGCAGCTTCTTTCATGGGTAATTCTTCCTGACCTATGTTTGAAGGGCAGATTCTACCGCAGTGCTTGCAGGTCAGTGACGGTGAAGAAGATCGAAGCTCTACGTCACTCAGTTACTGTAGCCTAGACGGTAGACTACTGTAGTAGGCTGTAGGCCTAGACAGTGCCAGCCAATTATTAACTTACTCGAATTGAAACTCCTTATGTAAAAACACTTGGCTCAATATTTTCTCCACATCGTGTACAAATTAATAGTTCAGCGATTCGGGATGGATTGTAACACTGAGATCTAAATCACTCTGTAGACAGCCAAGTGCTTCAGTTTAGTCTTAGTTGACAGGGGATTCAAGACAATGACCAGCAGTCAGTGAGTGTCGAGCACAGAATTCTACACTTATAGAACGGGAACTGTACCACGTGACCTGTGAGGAATTGAAGACCGAAAACAATGGCGTCGTGAGGGCACTATTTATCGTTTTCGGAAGTAACCCTATAGCTTTTAAAGCAAGAGCGGCTTTTACAAACGAGTGAAAAGTGGAACATTTACTGTCCAGTTTGTAATTTTGAGTTACAGAATTCACTGTGCAACTAGAGATTGGAATTAAGGTTTTAAATTGTTGTGTTTTGGAGTGCAACAACAGAAAAAGCAGACATACAGAGTTTATATAGATATGAATAAGATCTACAGAACTGAAAAAAATTCATAGCACTTCTAGCTTCCCACACACATTTTGCATACGCATATGGCCTACGTAGTTTTTTAGTAGTAAAACTTATTACAAGAAATTTGTTTTACACTGAACATATTTTTTCACTAGATCTTATTAATGTTCTCAAAACATGCGTTCAATAATTAACTTTATGTCGCCAGCAGAAGTAGAAAAAAGGACGGACTTGCTTTTAAAAGAGATTTAGCTCCAGCTATAAACTTTTTAAAAATCTGTAGAAACCATTGACTGGGATTTTTTTTTTATATATTGGGCTAGTATTTATTAAAGAATGTTCTTTAAAGAAATTTCTAGAATAATATAGAACCTATAGATGTGTACAAATGTTTGAAAAAAATACTCATCGGTTAAGACGAATTGATATAGATCTAAGTCATTGTGTAAAAGTAGGAGAATCTAGATCTAGGTGTTTGATAGTTCAGTAGCCTAGATATTTGATAATAAGTTGCGCATCAAATTTTTGACCGCATGCTACAGTAGTGAAGATAGCGTATTATTTTCATCCGAAACATTAATTTCCGCATCCATACACCTTTTTGAGCCTTTATAAGCACATGTAGTCCTACTTTAATTATGTTTTTGTTTTTGAAAGCATTTTCAATTCCTTTCACTTTCACTTCCCACGCGCGGCACATATAATTATGATTATAATTTAAGATTCCAAATCTGACGAATGTATTATTAAATAGCGTATAATGCTGAGTTAGCCAATGCATTGCAATGCGCACTATTATCAATTGATCGAATTGTAACAAGACTTCAATTTGATCCGTAACAAGAGGCCACTTATTTTTTATACGTGTTCATGAATGTGTGTTTGTTTACTGTGTGCGGGTATTAAAAATTAAAGATTAAAGATTCCAGATCTGACGAATGTATTTATAAAATAGCGTAATAGTGCTGGGTTAGCCGATCGATGCCTTGCGATACTTGCTTTTATCAATTAATTGATTTGTAACAGGACTTCGATTTGATCCGTAACAAGACAACACTTATTTTTTCTTATACGTGTTTAAAAATGTGTGTTTGTTTACTGTGTGCGGGCATTAAAGATTCCAGGTCTGACGAATGTATTTATTAAATAGCATATAGGCCTATAGGGCAGGGGTGGCCAACGCATTGCGATACGCACTTTTATCAATTGATCGAATTGTAACAAGACTTCAATTTGATCCGTAACAAGAGGCCACTTATTTTTTATACGTGTTCATGAATGTGTGTTTGTTTACTGTGTGCGGGTATTAAAAATTAAAGATTAAAGATTCCAGATCTGACGAATGTATTTATAAAATAGCGTAATAGTGCTGGGTTAGCCGATCGATGCCTTGCGATACTTGCTTTTATCAATTAATTGATTTGTAACAGGACTTCGATTTGATCCGTAACAAGACAACACTTATTTTTTCTTATACGTGTTTAAAAATGTGTGTTTGTTTACTGTGTGCGGGCATTAAAGATTCCAGGTCTGACGAATGTATTTATTAAATAGCATATAGGCCTATAGGGCAGGGGTGGCCAACGCATTGCGATACGCACTTTTATCAATTGATCGAATTGTAACAAGACTTCAATTTGATCCGTAACAAGAGGCCACTTATTTTTTATACGTGTTCATGAATGTGTGTTTGTTTACTGTGTGCGGGTATTAAAAATTAAAGATTAAAGATTCCAGATCTGACGAATGTATTTATAAAATAGCGTAATAGTGCTGGGTTAGCCGATCGATGCCTTGCGATACTTGCTTTTATCAATTAATTGATTTGTAACAGGACTTCGATTTGATCCGTAACAAGACAACACTTATTTGTTCTTATACGTGTTTAAAAATGTGTCTTTGTTTACTGTGTGCGGGCATTAAAGATTCCAGGTCTGACGAATGTATTTATTAAATAGCATATAGGCCTATAGGGCAGGGGTGGCCAACGCATTGCGATACGCACTTTTATCAATTGATCGAATTGTAACAAGACTTCAATTTGATCCGTAACAAGAGGCCACTTATTTTTTATACGTGTTCATGAATGTGTGTTTGTTTACTGTGTGCGGGTATTAAAAATTAAAGATTAAAGATTCCAGATCTGACGAATGTATTTATAAAATAGCGTAATAGTGCTGGGTTAGCCGATCGATGCCTTGCGATACTTGCTTTTATCAATTAATTGATTTGTAACAGGACTTCGATTTGATCCGTAACAAGACAACACTTATTTTTTCATATACGTGTTCAAAAATGTGTGTTTGTTTACTGTGTGCGGGCATTAAAGATTCCAGGTCTGACGAATGTATTTATTAAATAGCATATAGGCCTATAGGGCAGGGGTGGCCAACGCATTGCGATACGCACTTTTATCAATTGATCGAATTGTAACAAGACTTCAATTTGATCCGTAACAAGAGGCCACTTATTTTTTATACGTGTTCATGAATGTGTGTTTGTTTACTGTGTGCGGGTATTAAAAATTAAAGATTAAAGATTCCAGATCTGACGAATGTATTTATAAAATAGCGTAATAGTGCTGGGTTAGCCGATCGATGCCTTGCGATACTTGCTTTTATCAATTAATTGATTTGTAACAGGACTTCGATTTGATCCGTAACAAGACAACACTTATTTTTTCTTATACGTGTTTAAAAATGTGTGTTTGTTTACTGTGTGCGGGCATTAAAGATTCCAGGTCTGACGAATGTATTTATTAAATAGCATATAGGCCTATAGGGCAGGGGTGTCCAACGCATTGCGATACGCACTTTTATCAATTAATCGAATTGAAACAGGACTTCAATTTGATCCGTAACAACAGACCACTTATTTTTTCTTGTTCGTGTTCCAAAATATGTGTTTGTTTACTGTGTGCGGGGATTACAGGGGGACAAGCCCATCCCCTCGACATGTGATCCAGAGTATGGGGATACATTTTTCTCAAAATGCACACAGCTCTGAAATCCTTGACCAGTGATCACTCGCCATGGAACTCTTTCTGTTGTCACTGTAGACACAAGTTTCTTCATTATCACATCTGAATGAGCCTCTCATTCATGCATTAGAAATCACACTCCCAACACACAGAAAATGACTTTGAACATATATTCAGGAAACATATGCCAGTTCCACTCTTGTTTACTTTGTTTTGCATTATTGGCTTTTATGTGTAAAACAATATTTAGAGGCCTTTTCTGTATTTTTGTGTTTTTGGCAGCATGTACAATAGGCCTATGTATTTTATGTGCAACCGACACATTCTCCAATCGTAGATCTAGTACTAATCAAGACTATATCTAGATACTTTTCCAACAGAGTTAATGTTCATAATTAGTGTTATTATCAAGTGTATTGTGATTGTGAAGATCTTTAGTAGATCTAGATCTATCTAGATCTAGATCCCATCCCATCCCATCATTAAAAAAACAACAACAAACCAACAATACAGATACAAAAACATTGTAACATTGCCAATTATGACATATTGTTGGCAGTAAAAATGTACTAGACTATTTCACTATATTTCCTCTTCGAAGAAAGTTTTAAAATACTGATGTAACTTAATGTAAGGTGTCTTCCAAGCCCTACCACTAGCATCAGCGTGCATAGCAACGCGAAGCCTCGCTGTGCGGCGCAGCCAAAGGTGCCCTCAACTGGCCGCCATGTTTTAGTTTCAATTCCTCACAGCGAATCGGCGATCGCGAAGAGGGAGTTCCGCTTCTATAAGTGTAGAATTCTGTGGTGTCGGTGTCGAGTGACCGAAGTAAAGGGGCGCCACTCTTACAATAAAAATCCTAGTTTCATTTTTCATTGTTTTGCTTCCGTTTATTCATTCAATGTTATGATTTGGAGAAATGCCATATTGGTCTTCATATCCTTCACTTGAAATAATACTATAATAATAATATTGATTAGGCTAATTATTAATTAATTTGATGAGCATCAGTTAAATATATTTTGCATTCTCTGACAACCTGTTTTAAGAAAACATGGAATTCTAATCTAGGTTTTTCATTACTACTTACTGTATCATTATAATTGTGAGTTTATAATCATTTAATATTGTTCTATCATAATTGTGAAATGGCAGAATAGTTGTATAAAACCTCGAAAACGACACCAAAAGTGTATTTCCTAGGTCATTTTTAGGCTTCAGACACACAAAAATCTTTATTTTCGAGAAAAAAAATTAGAATTTTTGTGAATTTTTGTGAAATGAAAACACTCTGAAATAAATCAACAGCAGAACTAATAAAGGCCTTAACACTCTGGGCGATCTGGCAATCTTTTAAGCTACTCGCATACACAAAGCAACAGTCAACAACGTCAACTAGAGGCAGAGGCCTAGGCCTAGTATGTCTTCGTCTATTTGATTGAGTTGTAGTTTGCAGTCAATGAGGCCTGTAAGTTACAGCTTGAACTGGACTGATTAAATAAATATTATCCACTGCATGCATTAACTATTATCATTTATTTTATTGTATTATTTTCGGACTTCTTGATTGTAACTGTAACTGTAATTGTTCAATTAAATACGTATTATAAAGTAATAAAGTGTGGGATGTTTTCGATAGAATAAAAGTTTCGGCTGACCCCATTACCTTGCGGGATACGTTTCTTCTCTCATTATATTATTCATGGCTCATTGTTGAACACTAGGTTATTCATCTGTCTTTACTTCGGATCCCTCCTCTTGGACCATTTCCTACTGCGATATGTGTCCAACTTAAAATTTCCTCTCTCTTGCATTACCTGTTACCACCTACCACTTATTCTAGATTTATATATAGGATTGGAGACCTATATGATATTTAGTCATCCCCGTCTGTATGAATATACCTAGTGCTTTTACTTTTTGTGGAAACACTCGTCGAGAGAGCCAGGTCAGTAAGTCATGAGCAGAGAGGGTTTACAGTAATATTACTGTAAACTCTCTGGTCATCAGTTTACAGCGCCTTTTTCTGTTTACTAAAAGTTCTTTCCACAGGCGATGAAAATCAAGAACAGCTAGAGTGTATTGTGAAACAGTTAACAGTGTTTTGTGATATATATGAAAAAGAATTTCCTTGAAGGTAAATATGATACGCCCTTCCATTTCATTTTACTGAGTAGAATATAATATTATAGGTGAAGATGTGCCTGTGGTGTACATTTATAAGCTAACTCTTAGGATCTCTTTTATCATAATACCCATATATTACTTGACAGTCTGGCTTTCCACTGCTCTCAGTCTGAACTTTTACAAAATACCCATACAAAGTTGTAAGAGTTTCCTTCTTTGATGTGAATGCTGGGGGACATTGGCACTAATTTCTTTGCCTTTTTAGGCTTTCGGTGTGCTAGATGACCACTCCTTGATTTTTTCTTCATTAAGTGACAAAACAACCCTTGTTAAGCCTAAAATAAATTACAAATCATATGGCCAACGCTCTTTTTCATATTTTGCCCCACTTGTTTGGAATAGGCTTCCAAAAACTATCAGAGAAGCAGAAAATCTAGAAATTTTTAAGAAGAAACTAAAATCATTTCTATTTTCATCATATTTCGATTAGACAGAATCCATCCAAGCTGTAGATCGTTGTGAGTTTGTATGTGCATATGTACGTATGTGTGTATGTATGTGTGTGTGGTGCGTGCGTGAGTGAATATGCGTTTTCACGAGTATGTAACACTATGTACCTTTAAAATTGATTTGTAAATCCATAATATGTATCATGTTAAGCGCATAGAGCATTTCATAAGTGGATATGCGCTATATAAATGCAATCCATTATTTATTATTATTAATACCCAGCGCAGCACTGTGCATCTAATTTATCAATCTGAGTCAGGGCCAGCAAGGTTTCCCTTCATGGATGAGGATGGGGTAAAAGGTACCATTTTGGCGCAAAATGACGGGAATTTAATTGGTTCGACTATGACGTTCAAATTCAAATAATTTAAAGAAAAATTTAGCTGGCCCCGACTCTCGACTCAAATTGATGAATCTGACTGGCATTGTGAACTGAATTTTAAAATTTGATGAAACAAGAGTTTTCGTTTACCTTGTTCCTCTTGAGGTGGTTGTGACATATGTGTGAGACATCATGGTGAAATCAGGCACACGTCAGAATTGTGAAATCAAAGAAATTGTCATTTCTGACCTTGGGGAATTTTGTTTCTAATTTCCTTTTTTTGACTCAAGACCTTTTATGTCCATTTAAAACGCATGTGTGGATTTTACTGAAAAACGTTGACTTAAGGCACAAAAAATGTCAAGTTTCAGTTTCCAAGGACTCTCAAGCATGGAAATTACCTAACTTTGGCGGCCATTTTCTCGCTAATTTCACCTCTGAAACCAGGCGACCCTGACCTGCTTCAATCGCAAATATTTCAACTTCTGTTCGACATAGATGATATATTTTTCACCAAAAGCAAGGCAAATGTACAGGCTTTAAGACGATACCAATAACCCTATCATGCCCAAAAATTGACGAGCGCCTGATTCCACCATGTCGCGACACATATATATATTGTCTACCCTACACCATCACTGCAGGGGCTCTCGTGGTCTACAGGTAGGCTGTTTGCCTCTCATTCAAGAGATCCCAGGATCAAAACCAAACTGCAACGAAAAAAAATTTTTGGTCAGATTTTTTCCGTTCAGGGAAGTCGAGAATGTTTCTCCAGTGCTCTTGGGTCTGCTGGGGTAATAACAGACTTGATATAAAGCACTATGTATAGAGCATGCTGCAGAACACACGCGCAATAAAAATGCTGTTATTATTATTATTTTATTGTAGTTATTTTTATTCTTCTTATTATTATATCTAAATATATTATTATTATTATTTATTATGAATGTGTGGCCAGGCGATGTTTCCCTTTCTCTGTACAAAAGCAGCCTGATCCTCTCATCGTGTGTTCGCTGTTTGGGAGCTCATTTTTGTTTCTTTTGCAATCAGCCTGGATTCTCAGTCTCCTCCTCCAGCTTTTGCTCCTCTCCATTTTCCTCCCTAGGGCACTCTTAACATTTCTGCCTGAATTCCTTCTGTTCTGATATTTTTTGCATGCCTTATTTCCCTTCTGAGCCCCAGTAAGTCTCCTCCCCCTTCTCTCCCCCGCCCCCCCCCTCCTCTCCCCACACACACATTCCTATTAATTTTGGGGAGGGGGGGATACTGGAAAAGTGTGTGTCAGAGTTTACTAACTTTTGAAACATGAATGTCATGAAGAAATCATATGTAACATAGGTTGAGATAGTATGGTGTGGGACATGGTCTCATCAATGTGCAGTTGACCCTAATGTACAGTTTTTGCCACTGAAAGGACTCGAGCTGAATTCATTGATTGATACTTGATCTTTGCCATTTAATTAAGAGCTTTAAATTTTCCTGGTGCTGTTATTACTCTCTGTAAATGGCTTACTTGTGAGTTCATTTTGTTGTTTCACTTGCATAATCATTTTCTTTATTCATATTGGCCTTGGGTGAACAATGAAAACAAAAGCCAATTAATTATCACAAAATCAATAAAATATAAAAGGCCTATGAAGGGTACAAGTCAACTGGAAGTACGCATAAAAGGCCTCCCCTTCCAGACCCCCCCCCCCCCCCCCCCATCCCGAAGAGCGGGACGGAGCACCGGGGAACAGCGACTCTATTTTTAAAAACAGGAAAAAATGTGTCCGGCGTCCGGGGAACAGCGACTGCCCTAAGCGAATACCTCGTCGTGATGGTATTGATGCTAGTATCGATACACCCGCGGCCCGACAAAAACATTTTTAAATAAACATTTAAAACTATGTCTAATCGTAAAAATAATATCAAATTCGGAACCAGCGTGTCCAAATTAACAAAATAACTCGCGGTTGACCGTTTTTCTTGCTGGATTTAGATCACAAAAAGAATTATTTTATATAGATTCTTCTACCAAGATTGCATCTTGTAGTATTTTCCTTTCATGAAGAGGACTGACAACAGTCTCTTTTAACCATAGATGTACACTCTATGCTTTTAACTGATCTTATAATAGACCCCCCCCCCCTTCCTCAGCGTGAAGTGACACGTGGGAGGCTGTGACGCAAAATTCCTTTGATGTGTGCCGCCGCGCGGGATTAAACTTTATCGCAGCTAAAAACTGATTTCATTTTTGAAATCAGCATATCAAAATAAGCAAAGTGGCTCACGTGGAACCTGATTTGATGCCATATTTTAAAACTTGAGCAAACTTTGTTTTTCAATTGTCTATTTTCAATCTAAAGTTAGGTATCAAGGTCACCCAGTGCGTTGTAAGTGCATCTGACGTCAAAGCTGCTAGGACTACACACTGCACACTAGGCTAGATATCTACTATCTATACTACTGCACTGTCACCGTACAGTGTACAGTAGGCCTATGGTGACTTGGTCGAAAGAATTTGCTATTCTCTTTATTGAGATGTAGAGGCCTACAGATCCCTCGAATGTCTGTGGACGATTAAGTCCAGAGACTACAATAACAAATTATTAAGAGAGGGCGTAGGGAGAGTTTGTGTCATTAGAATTTTGCAACTAATAACTTCATGGACCTCTTTTTTAATGTTTGTTAAGTAACAACACACAGAATGCAGGCAAATTGTTGCGTAGAGTCATCCGGCGCAAGAAGAAGGAATCTCCCCCAATTTAAAGGGAATTGGACACTATAAAACGGAACGTTTAAACAGAATATGGAGTATGATAAATCTGACAGTTCTACTATACGAAGAATGTAATACGATTTATCGCTGGGAGTAACGTTGGCTTTACATATTAACACTTTTTACGGCAAACTATTTATATCCATTTGACCGACATCAGGGTATAACACACCCGCACGTGTATTATACAGTGGGTTCCAAAAGAAACTTGACAATGTAATCACCCAATAATCGGGTTAACACCTTGCACTACCCACTCATACAGCACACCAATTTAAAGCTAAATAAATTCTGCATCATCTGACACAATAATATTTCATCCAAGTTAAGAGATGCTCGAGATAATACTATGGCCACTCAAAATTGACCTTAAACAATCAGGCTGGCAAAATTGTGCGAAATCACAGAAACGTTATCTTCACCATCAATATTGAAGAATGAACATACAATACATATCCAATGAATGGAGAATTTGTTTCTCTGCAATAAACAATATCTAATGTCGATAGTTTCAAATTTTAAACAAAACAGAAAACAAAGCAATCAAAATTACCACAAAAACTCGGACTTAACATTAAATGTGCTCATTGTTATTTTGCGTAGGAGCCATTGGTTTTGTTTAGTGCACGAACCCATAGAGGGCATCGACTCTGCTAAATTTTGGACAATTATCAGTCACTTTATCCCAGATGTCACAGACGGTTGCAAACGAAGGGTCTGAATTGGGAACAACGTCAATTTTCTTCAG